TGTTCAACAGAAATGATTGTGATTGGCTGAGAATGTCATCAGTTTACCGCTGTTTACCAAGCACACACACAACACAGACAGAGGAGCGATCTGCTTGTTGATTCGACTAAACTTCAAGGCAAGGCTGCTTCGCGCTTCAGTCTCCGTGTATCTGTGTTTGCACTGGGTGAAGAGCAGTAAGCTGAGTGCAAACTAAACACAGAGACACGGATACTGAAACGCGAAGCAGCCTTGAAGATCAGTCGAGTCATCCGCGCTCAGCAGCGCTTCCATGTTAGCGGGAAATAGCCGGGTTTAAAACTTCAGTATCGGGACAACACTATTACAGACAACACGAGGGTGTGCTTCAGAGGACTGCAGTGTTTTATCGCTCACCGGGTTACATAGACTAAAGCAGAAAAGCGTCGTCTGTGTTTAACTGGTGCCATGAACTGAAGCCCAGGAGGACACTTAAGCGCATCACTGAGATTGTGATGTTTGATGCTAAGTTGCTTTTAATTGTTTAAAATAAACTCACTAAATAATATTAAAGTGATGTTTACATCATTTCTGCATTTTAAAATCTCTGCAACAGCTGGAGGTTTATTGTACACGGCATGTTACTGCAATACAGTGCTGGTCCTATACTGTACTTCCGGGTTTCTTTCCACCGCAGCCTCGCTTTGGGTTTTTAAAATGGCGGCCGCGTGAAATAAGCGTATAAGTCAGTCAGTCAGTCAGTCAAACAATCAGTCAACAGCGGCCTCTGGTAGATTTACGCAAGAACAGCAGGTGCAAATGGCACTTGTGATAAATTTGAGATCTGAAAAAGCATACACAGCAGCCTCTGATGGATTCGCAAAAATGAAAACTGCAAAAACGTAGCCTCTTGGACGTATTTGGCGCTCTCTAGAAATGTATATTGGGATACATAATCAGAATGAGCCTGGGTTGCACCAATATCTTTTTGTGCTCAAAGAATATTATGATTTATGCGTTCAAACATACATGGTAAAATTGCTGGGTTCCACAGTTTCTTCATGTTGTCACGACACAAATCGATTAAGTTTTATCAAATTTAAGTGGACTGAACATAAAACAATTAAGTTATCCACAACAAAACCTTAAGAATTTTCCCAGAGATGGATTGTGGCTGAAAGGGCATCCGCTGCGTAAAAATGTGCTGGATAAGTTGGCGGTTCATTCCGCTGTGGCATCCCCGGGTTAATAAAGGGACTAAGCCGACAAGAAAATGAATTAATAACCTTTAAGAATTGTTGATTCAACTCAATTTAAATGAGTAGTTTGAACAAGCAGCATTTTTTTTGAGTGTACTTCCATCTAAACCTGAAACCTGTTACTTAATTTAACAGCACCTTTCCAGTAAATAATGAACTCCACTAAAATGCAGGCTTGTTTTGCAAAATGGCAAAAAGAAAAATACACTTCACAGAGCATGTGCAATTTTGGTTCAAAAATAAACCGAAGCAATAATAATCTATAATGTATACATTTGCATTAAAATAACTCTATTAACTTTTGCATAATGTGTGTTGCAGTCAGGGGACGTTTATGTTTATGTTCAGTTATGATTCTGCAGTGTGCATTATTCATCAAAGGCAAAATCACATGTAACACTTATACGAAATATAGTTAAAAACAGCACATTACTTCAAACTGAAATAATAAAATACCTCTGACATGTACTGTACTTGAAAATCTTAAAAAACTTAACATATTCCACTGTTCTGGAAACTCGATCATAGATTGTTACTGACAAAACAAAAATACACATAATTAAAAGACAAAAATCTAATATTAACATAAGTATATATGTACAGTTGAAGTCAAAATGATTCACCCTTGTGTGATTTTTTTTTCTTTTTTAAATATTTCCCAAATAATGTTTAACAGATTCAGGAAGTGTTCACAGTATTTTCTATAATGTTTTTTCTTCTGCAGAAAATCTTATTTATTTTATTTTGGCTATATAAAAGCTGTTTTTTAAATATATATATATATATATATATATATATATATATATATATATATATATATATATATATATATATATATATATATATATATATATATATATATATTTGAAGGTCAATATTATTAGCCCTCTTAATCAATATTAGTTTTCAACTGTCAACAGATCAAACCACTGTTATACAATGACTTGCCTTATTACCCTAACTTGCCTAATTTATGGAGCCAGATCAGTCTCAAAAATAATACAGTTACAAAATAAATTCATACACCCGCAATACAATTCATGTTTACCAAATCCAATTTGTAAATTCAAAACACAATTTAAAAATACCGAAATCCAATTCAGAAATTCAAAAAAGATTAAAAAATATGCAAATACAAGTCGTAAATTCATAACACAGTACAAAAATGCACAAATACAATTCATGAATTCAAAAAACTATTTAAAAATACGCAAATCCAGTTCATTTGGTGAAAATATTTATGATTTTCAATTGTGAATTGATTATTTGTGTTTACAGATGTACAAATTGTATTTTGTAAATGTATTAACCAAGTTAAGCCTTTAAATGTGTGTGATGCGGTGGCGCAGTGGGTAGTGCTGTCGCCTTACAGCAAGAAGGTCACTGGTTCGAGCCTCGGCTTGGTCGGATGGCATTTCTGTGTGGAGTTTGCATGTTCTCCCCGTGTTTGCGTGGGTTTCCTCTGGGTGCTCCGGTTTCCCCTATAAGTCCAAAGACATGTGGAACAAGTGAATTGGGTAAGCTAAAATTGTTCGTAGTGTATGAGTGTGAATGAGAGTGTATGGGTGTTGCAACTGGAATGGCATCCTCTGCGTAAAACATATGCTGAATATGTTGGCGGTTCATTCCGCTGTGATGACCCCAGATTAATAAAGGGACTAAGAAAATTAATGAATGAAGCCATTAAATGCCACTTTAAGCTAGCTTGAGTACTAGTATCTTGAAAAATATCTCATCATCAATATGTCATCATGGCAAAGATAAAATAAATCAGTTATTAGAAATGAGTTATTAAAACTATTATTTTTTAAACTCTCTGTTAAACACAAATTAGAAAAAACATAATATATTCATTCATTCATTTTCTTTTCGACTTAGCTTCTTTATTAATCAAAATATTAATCTATTATTAAATTCTAAAATAAAAAAATAACAATTTAATTTGAAAATTTAATAATTCTGACTTCAACTGTGTATATATATATATATATATATATATATATATATATATATATATATATATATATATATATATGAAAAAAAGAAAAACTAAATTATACATACATAAATAAAATGAGCAATACTTTTAAAAGGCACCTTTGGTCTGATCTCGCTTCAACCCTGTATTAAATGCACAACTCTGGAAAACGTCTCTTTTCTTTTCAAATATGTACAATTTAATGCATGAGCACAGAATCCTTCAGATTGCCCTTTTGAATTAATTTGTTCCCGGACATGTGGAACATCTGTTTCTGTGTCTGCTATTGTTATTTCTGAGTGGCACTTCAGGATGGACCCTTTAGGCAAGTTATTAAATGTCACACTGCAACTCCAGGTGGGCTTCATTTGCATGCAAAGTTTACGCCCTCTGGATTTTTTTCATTTCCAGATGCAACAGGGAATTTAAATATGGAATATGAGGATGCATCTGCAAAATCCTTGCGTAACCACAATACGAGACCTTCTACTTCTGATTAAGAATTTCTCTTTTTCTAGACATTTTTAACATTCATTTTAATGTTCCTTCTCTATGCAGGCACAGCAGTTGGTTCCTTTTGTTAGTTCCTAACTTAGTTCCTTTTACTTTACAAAATAGTGTATCTGTTAAACACCATTCAGAATAAATTTTTAACAACAAAAAGGTGCTCAGATATGAAAAGTGCTCGTATTTAATTGTCTTTCAAGCTGAATGGCATTCACTGCATGAAGCAAAATTACTAAATGGAGGAAAAATTTAAACTAAATGTAACATTTACACCGCCTTAAAGGGCCATGACACCCCCCACTTTCGGTTAAAGTCTACTTCAGAATTTTTTAAAAAGATGCATGATTAATGGGCGTGGAGCTCCGCGAGCATCGGGCAGGAGTGGGCGTGGCCAGCAGGGGAGAAGGGGAGCGAACTGTTGTTGACAGTTAGCTCACAAAATGAGACAAACCGTGAGGAGACGCATGAGTTTATAGTTCACAAAGTTAAAATGCAAAGAAATAAACAGTAATTTAATGCCCTGCTACATTTGTTATTCGTAATTTCATATACACATAACCATAATTTATATCATTATAAAGATAAGTGTGTTCATGTAAACACTATAAATGAGGATTCTCCCTCAATCCCCGTATCCAGCAGACTCAGTGCAGCAGGTCTCCTGACCTGTCTATTTTAACCATTAACCCTGCTGGTAATCTGGAGGATTTAGGCAAACACAGCAGCACGGCGATGTGTCTGAATGTGAACGAACTCCTGATAAAAGTCAACGTCCGCCATTCTTCAGTTCTCGCACTGCTCTCCCGGCAAAATGCTTGCAGCACACACACAGCTTTGCTGTATGATCGGCCCTGACAAGATCGCGGGGAAAAAAAACATGCAACAAACGCCGTGGATCATGGAAACAAACACATGCGAGCCTTCATGAACGGCTACTGCGTGCCGTTGGTCTGTGTCTCACAGCTTGCTTGAAACTGGCAGGTCTGCCTCCGGAAAGCACGTGCTCTCATGAATAATTAAGCAGCCGGCTCTTCTCATAGGATAAGAAAACTCCGCTATGAATAATAATGAGAAACCGACGCCTCATCATTGCACTTGCAGTAATGCGCAACGTCGCCGATTTTGATCCCGCCCCAAAAATCATTTTAAACCCGGAAGCTGAAGTTAGCTGACAAAAGCTCAAAATTATCCAGTTTTCCCCACAATTAAAGCTGACAGGTGCTAACATTGTCTTAACTGATGCTCAACACACACACACATCTATTAATATTAAAAAAAAGTTCTCCATTGTGTCCTGAACCTTTAAAGATGGTGCCACCGTTTGGCCCAAATGCTGTATGCCAGTGCCTGCTGTGCTAGCTTCATACCAAATCTAGACCAGACTTCTTGCAAAGTGAGCTAACAAAACCGATGTTTAGTTTTGATTCCATGTGTACTATAATAAATATGTACCACACATTGCAATATCAATGCTCAACCGATGTATTGTTCAGCCCTAAACTGCACCATTCACTCCATCCATGCTCCGAGCACCCTGTGTGAAGCAACCGTCCCGTTCATATCCTCCAAAAGAATCCCTTGAATCCCATGAGCCGCCCCGTGAGGTATCACCGGAAAACATCGCTCTTTCCTCCCGCTGGTCACCCCGCGACTCCCGTCGGACACTTTGTTAGGGGGTGGCAGAACGAAATGCGTGTGTCGCATCTCTGATGCCACAGAACTGCAGAACCCACAAGCCACGGCGGCCTGAAAACCCCTGCGAAAATTCTCATTGAAAAAGCCGTAGATGATGGGATTGACGCCGCTGTTGAAGAACGCCAGCCAGTGCGCCACAGGGAACAGATAGCTGCTCAGAAAATCGATCTGCTGGCGGTCCAGATCCTGATAATCCGTGAGGAGCATCAGTGTCCAGAGCGGCAGCCAGGACACCATGAAGAGCACTGCCACCATTATTAGCATCTTTATCACCTTCATCCTCCGTCTGGAGCGTAAACGGTTCTCCTGGAGGTTGCTGGAGAGTTTGGCTGCGATGCAGCCGTACATGATGCTGATGAGGCCGAGCGGCGCCAGGTAAACGTGGACGAAGATGACGGTGGTGTAGACGCGCCGCATGTCAGCCCTGGGCCAGTCCTCGAAGCACACGAACAGGGGGTAGATCTGGTCGTTTTGCACCATGTACATGTCGTCCAGGTGGATGACGGTGAGAGTGGCGGCGGAAGGAAAGATGATGGCGAAGGCGAGCAGCCAGATGAAAACGATGGCAAAGAGGGCCGTGACCGGACGCAGGCGGTGGTGGAAAGGGTAGACGATCCCTGTAAATCTGTTGACAGGAAGAAGAGCGATTCAGTACTCAAAACATAAATCAAATCACTTTTATTGTTGCATGGATGTACAGTCGTGTGTGTGTGTGTACAGGGGTTAGAGGAGGGGACTGAGAACACAGCCCTGTGTAGCACCAGTGTAAAGGTACTGTATGTAATTTTCTGAATCTTCTAAAGGATAAAAATACCATTATATGTTTGCAGACATTTAGGAATCATGCCAAGTGAGCTTGTTTATCTGAAAAACAATGCTGAAGTCAGATATTCTGCTTTGCAAATGTGCGTTACATGCCGGAACGGCTGTCTTTGTTTTGGTTCTTTGGTCCCGCCCACTGCCAATTAAATGATTTAGCCAATTACATTTCAGCACCCCATATTTCCTTGTTGGTATTTCATTCATTCATTCAGGAAGGCTCTCAAAGCATGGGTCTATGACCAAAATGTGACCTCTGGTGGACAGTAGCAGACTCCGAAATGAGACGCAGATTCAGAGTTCCACATGGGTTATTAATTAGCAAATATTATAAATAATACAAACGTAAACATTAGGTGAGCAGGATACATTGTAACGCTGTGTTCTAACAACACGCTACTGATCAGATTTGCAGTGATAAGCAATTTGGCTGTTTGCACCAGACAGTCATTAAATACAGCCATTCAGAAGCACAGAATAGTGCACTCACTGCACTTCAACTAAATGGTAAGGTTTATAATCGAATTAATACATATTAAACCTCTTTAACATTATTAAATGTTGGTGCTGAATCACTGATATGTGTTGGTTTGCACAGTCACAGTTCTGTAGTTCAATTTTAAATGGTTTATTTTATAAGATCTGAGGTGAACTATCTGCTGCTGCTTTCAGTAGAATGGCTATAAATGCCATGTAAAATGGCATTTGAACTCGCATTATTAGCCTTAACATTGAATTAAGCACATGAGGTGTACCTGAGGTGGTCTTTGTCAGTTTATATTATCGTGTTCAGTTACAAGAAATAGAAGCCGTTTCTAAAACATCAATCCAAGGTGTTTGTTAAAACAAAAACTCATTTTAATATGGAAAATATTCCCTCTATCGCATGCCGTTAGACTCGCTCCTTTTGGTCCTTGATCAGGCAAGCTGCGCTTGCATTTGTTTTGATCCAGGAATGCAACCCCTAAATCAACTACTGGGTGTCAAACTTGAATACTGCACCTTTAAGGATCATTGTGGATGAAGTGATGTTGTTCATTCTGATCATTTGGCATCTTCTTGATAGGAAGCTCAGGATCCAAATAAGTTCAATTGACTGAAATGCATCTTTTCAAAAGGGGGCGGAGCTACTAATGCCTTTGTGTCAGCATAGTGACAAATTCAAAACACGACTAGCATTCATTTGTGCATTTAAACTCCACATTTATAATCCTCTCAGTCGCTGACATTATCTTCAGCAGGCCAAAACTATAATAGCGGATGGCTGCTTCTCACTCGGGGCTGTTTATGCAAATGAGGGAGAGATGGTCACTAGTGGGTGGCGTTTTTTTTTTTTTTTTTTTTTTTTTTGGAGAATTTCAATGAAAGTGTTTCTGCAGAATTAATTCATTTTTATTTTTACAGCCTGGCTATATTTACACACTGCTGACACAACTGTGTTTAAACCCCTTATGAAAGTGATTTTTGCATAATAGGTGCCCTTTAAAATGCTGTTTTTTTTTTTTTTTAAAGGTGCCGTATATTGAAAATCTGGGTAGAGCTGAATAATAAGGGTTCAGTTCATGGAAATGCCATTCTGTGAGCCTCAAGCTTTATTGTTTCCTCATTCTTATGTAAATCCAGGTGAAAAACAGGCCAATCAGAACAAAACAGAGACTGTGATGATCCAGAGAGAGAGAGAGAGAGAGTCATAAATGTTAGATCATCCCGATTCATATAGGCTCAAATAGTGCTTTGCAGTTTATTCAAATAATGTTAGTAAATAAATAAATAGCATTTGTAATATGCAAAAAAGGTGTCACAGGGGCACAGAGGGTATCGCGATTGCCTCACAGCAAGAAGGTCGCTGGTTCGGGACCAGTTGGCATTTCTATGTGGAGTTTGCATGTTCTCCCCGTGTTGGCATGGGTTTCCTCCCGGTGCTCCGGTTTTCCCCACAGTCCAAACACATGCGCTATAGGGGAGCTGAATAAGCTAAATTAGCTGTAGTGCATGAGTGTGTGTGAATGTGAGTGTGTATGGTTGTTTCCCAGTACTGAGCTGAAAGGGCATCCGCTGCATAAAAACAAATGCTGGAATAGTTGGAGGATCATTCCACTGTGGCAACCCTTGATTAATAAAGAGACTAAGCCAAAAAGAAGAATGAATAAATATGCCAAGAAATACTGGTGTTCAGCTAGGTTGATTGTGCCCACTAGGGGGCCTCAGCAAACTTCCAAAGGGTCCTCAAGATCACTTAAATATGTTTAAAATAAGATTAAACAAAACATTATATCACTTAAAAATAAAATAAAAAACAGAGAACCAACATAAAAAATCAACAATAATAACAGTTATAATAATAATAATAGTAATAATAATAGCAATAATAATAATGGTAATAATAATAGTAATATTAATATAGTAATAATGTTAATAATACCAATAATAATTATAATACTACTACTACTACTAATAATAATAATAGTGGTAGTAATAATAGTAACAGTAATAATCATAATAACAGTAATAATAATAATAATAAAAAAGTTGAAAACAGAAAAATGCCATTTTAATGTCATTAAAGTATTAAAAATTAAATCTCATGGGCATTTTTATAATTATTATTTTTTTATCTTTATTCTGGAGGTAGTTAATTTAGTCTTTGGAGTCACAAACGTTCAGAAACAACTAACCCTATATTTGCTATTTATTTCTGAACTTGTCTAAATCAATCAAATATAAAAATCCCTCATCAGTTTTTCACTATGTTTATATGGAGTTGTCTATTCATGACATGTCTATTTGCAATCTTTGAGTATTCTGAGAAATACATGAGACTTTCGACATGTAAAAAATCCATTCATTTATTTTATTTTAAGCTTAGTCCCTTTATTAATCTGGAGTCACCACAGCAGAATGAATCGCCAACTTACCCAGCATATGTTTTACGCAGTAGGTGCACTTCCAGCCGCAACCCAACACTTAGAACCACCCATACACTCTTGCATTCACACTCATGCACTACTCCCAGTTTCATTCATACATTCATTCATTTTCTTTTCAGCTTAGTCCCGTTATTAATCTGGGGTCACCACAGCAGAATGAATCGCCAACTTATCCAGCATATGTTTTACACAGCGGATGCCCTTTCAGCTGCAACCCAACACTTAGAACCACCCATACACTCTTGCATTCACACTCATACACTACGCCTAATTTCATTTATTCATTCATTTTCTTTTCAGCTTAGTCCCTTTATTGATCCGGGGTCGCCACAGCAGAATGAACCGCCAATTTATCCAGCATATGTTTTCTGCAGCGAATGCTCTTCCAGCTGCAACCCATCACTGGGAGACATCCATACACACTCATTCACACTCATACACTACGGACAATTTAGCCTAACCAATTCACCTGTACGGCATCTCTTTGGACTTGTGGGGGAAACCGGAGCATCCGGAGAAAACCCACGCCAACACGGCACAGAAATGCCAAATGACCCAGCCGGGGCTCGAACTAACGACCTTCTTACTATGAGGCGACGGTGATAACCATTGAGCCACCATGCCATCCTTCCTAAATTGATCAAATTTAAAAATCCCCCTTGGCTTTATATTCAAAACACAGACATTCTGCCTCCTACATGACATGCCTATATTGGCAATCTAAGATATACATCCTATAGACTTTCAACTTTATTTCAGACATGTAAAAATAAATAAATAACTACAATTAATAAAGAGCAAAAGGCTTTCACGCTGAATATAAATCAAGAGTGACGTTCGAAATATAGAGCCGTCAGAAATGAGTGACAGTGCATGTGGCCCTCGTAGCTTTGTAAATTGAATGCACAGCTCTGGCTGTTTGATCAGATCACACACTGTTACGAATCTTCACACATCTTCAAAATCAGCTTCAGAACATCAGCAGGTGCTTGAACCTCACAACAAATCAATGCAAGTCCTAGAAGACGGCTTTTTTTCTCGGTAAACTTTCACAGCGTGGGTGATGTTCAGATGTGTCATCCTTGATGCTGCTTCTTTCGCACCTGATTCTCATGCAAATAACGTAATAAAAAGACAGATATTGGCATGACAGACACAAATGTCTAGCCATTACTATGTGAAATTAAAATTAATTAGTGTACAATACCACTGCTGCATTATTAAAGGGCACATATTATGCAAAATCACTTTTATAAGGGGGTTTATATGCAGTTGTGTGTCAACTGTGTGCGAACATAGCCAGCATATATAGTTAAACATGAATTTATTCTGGGCGAGTGGCGCAGTAGGTAGTGCTGTCGCCTCACAGCAAGAAGGTCGCTGGTTTAAACCTCGGTTTAGTTGGGGTTTCTGTGTGGAGTTTGCATGTTCTCCCTGTCTTTGCGTGAGTTTCCTCCGGGTGCTCTGGTTTCCCCCACAGTCCAAAGACATGCGGTACAGGTGAATTGGGTAGGCTAACTTGTCCGTAGTGTATGAGTGTGTGTGTGGATGGGCATCCGCTGCGTAACAACTTACTGGATAATTTGGCGGTTCATTCCACTGTGGTGACCCTGGATTAATAAAGGGACTGAGCCGACAAGAAAATGAATAAATAAATGAATTAATGAATAATGAATGAATAAATTGATGAATTTATTTTTTTCTTTTTTTATTATTCTTTTTTTATTATTATTTTTATTTAATTTTGTTTTTAATTAATTAATTAATTAATTCAGTTTTTTTTATAACCACACTTAAATAAAAACAGTCTGCAGAAACACTTTGATTGATATTCTGGGCCATGTTATATGTGCCATTATAGGCCATGTTATACACTCAGTGCAATAAAGTCCAAGATGTGTTTGGTGCAATTTGTTGCTATTTTCAGACCGGCGCAACCCTAATTTCCATGTTTTGCGCCATGTTGTTTTCAATAGCAAATCCATTTGTGCCACATATGTGGATACATGCCGGTCTAGAATGGAGGTGTGTTAAAGTGCATTGTTATTTTGATGAACTGAAATGGATTGCGCCATTGACTAACTAAAAGCTGCTTCAAAGTCCAGAGCAGCGCATGTAGTTATGTGCCTATGCAGGTCCAAACACTTACACATTGCTTACACACAGAATATTCAGCGATACACAAATATCCTTACAGATAAAAAAAAAGAATTAAAATGTTACAAAAATGATTATTTTCTACATAAATATAAAGACTACATGCCTTCTTCATCTCGGGGGCCTTTTTTCTAGTGATGGAAAGTTCAGATCATTTTACTGACTCGGATCTTTGAGTCTCGTTCATCAAGATGAACGAATCTTTTTTCGAGTCATTTCGTTCATTTGGTTTAATTTGCCAAAATAATAAAATGTTACGAATTGCTTCCAAACACGTCTACAACTAACCCAAATGTTGACTGCACGACAAATATGTCATGAACGACCCATCACTACTTTTTTCAGTTCAATCATGACAATTTGCATTAGAGTAATAATATTATTATTCATAGTTATATTATTTATTATATGCACATTTAAATTAGTTTGAATAAAAACTAGTTTAGATTTGTCCACCTGTCGAGTTTTGGACCATATGGGGCATAAGAATAGGACGTGTGTTTGATGTAACTCAGCTTTTTGACCGCACTTTGTTATTATTGTTCATTTATTCGTTTGCTGGATATTAGAACTGAATTTAGAAACCGTTTTAAAGCACTTCTTTCCGCTTAACAAACTAAATTAAATATGTAGGCTGATGAATGTCTTCGGTGGAGTGCGTACAACACCGTTTTCTTACTCCATGAAAGTAAAGGAGTAAAGTAAAGAGTAAAGGTAAAGAGAAAGTAAAGATGCAGATGCTCTGTTTGACTGTTTTCCCGCTAGTGAAGCGTTTAGTTTTGTGGGCCACTTTTGGCAAATATTTGGCACAGTAAACTCTGGCTAATGCAGCCGTTAGCCTATAGTGGCCCAGAGAAGATATGGAAAATGTGGGCCGAATCTGGGCCAGTATAAAAGCAACCTGTGGCCCAGAATAGGGTCAGCTCTGGTTCGTTCAGTTATCTTAAAACATAAGTAGGCCACTTGGTGAATATTTGGCACAGTAAGGTATGGCTAATGTGGATTTGAGCCTATAGTTGCCGAGAGAAGATATGGCAAATGTGGGCCGAATCTGGGCCAGAATAAAAGCAACCTGTGGCCTAGAATAGGGTCAGCTCTGGTTCGTTTGGTAAAATTCTGGCTGATATGTGATATTGCTTTGGCTTAATTGTGGCCCAGATCTGGCCAACAGGAGCGGACTGCCCAAGTGCCATCATTCCATGCTGTATGTGGGCCAGATCTAAGTGTCTATTGTGGGCCGGATTTGAGCCACATGAATTGTGTGAAAAAAAAACTATGGTAGTCAATGGTTAGATGTTTCCAACATTTTTCAAAATATCTTCTTTTGTGTTCAACGGAAGAAACTACATCAGGTTTGGACCAGGTGAAGGATGAGTAAATGACAGCAGCATTTTCATTTTTTAGGTGAACTATCCCTTTAAGAACTGTGCATTTCATAACTTAATAGGGGAACCAAGAATGCTTCCTAAGGCACAGGTGTCAAATCCAGTTCCTGGAGGGCTGCAGCTCTACACAGTTAAGATTTAACCAAATCTAAAGTCTTCAGATTTTAAATCAAATCTTCAAGTCTTGTTTGAAACCCACAGGTAAGTGTGTTGAAGCAGGGTTGAAACTAAACTGTGTAGAGCTGCGGCCCTCCAGCATCTGAGTTTGACACCCCTGCTGTACAGCAAAAACACTCTTAGAGATCCCTACCGTTTTAGAATGTATTGCCCATTTGCACAACACTACTATATCAAGCACTCCATCTTATACGTAATGTTTGATTATTATAATTAGTGGTGATTACCTGTCTACTGCTATGGCAACCAGGGTGAAGACAGAAGCAGACACGGACATGCCCTGAACCAGGTTACTCATAGTGCAGGTGATCTGGCTAAAAGGCCAACCTGTGGAGAAATCAAGCTGAAATATAATTGCAGTACAGTCATTTGAATATAATACACTTTTATATTGAGTGTTATAAAATTATTTCAGGTCCTAAAAAGATAAAAACCTTTCAACAGAGATCTGCTACGAATTTTTTTTCAGAATGTGTCCCGTTTAATTTGATGTTTTCTGAGCAAAAAAAAATGACTTTTGTATATTTTTAGCATGATTTACAGATTATGTAAACTATTATATCATTAAGTGTAACAATAAACATTATTATACTTATTTTAGAACAAAAATATCATATATAAAATATCATTGACAAAAAATTACATTTCAACATGGTCATCAAAATGGAGTGGGATGAAGCACAAGCTAATTATTTTCCCACCCTATTACCACATACTTCCTTCCTCTATTACTTAAATGGCAAACAGCCATTAATTGAAATTTCATCATAGCTTTCTCATTTTATCCTTTTTCAATCACCTTCATGATTATATTCCTTTAATAATAAATATTTATACAACTTTTTAAATTGATTAATATCCTGACATTTGTTGAGAGTCTGATCTAGACTGTTCCATAATTTCACATCACAGAAATTCATTCATTCATTTTCTTGTTGGTTTAGTCCCTTTATTAATCCGGGGTCGCCACAGCGGAATGAACCGCCAACTTATCCAGCAAACTTTTACGCAGCGGATGCCCTTCCAGCCGCAACCCATCTCTGGGAAAACACCACATACAGACAGACACAAACTTTTTAAAGTTGTCCTTGTTTACAACCTCCTAAAATGTATTTCTTCTCTCAGATTATATCCTCCTTGTCTTTTTTCCAAAACCTTTTGTTTGCATGTTGTAAGTAATTTATTCCTAGCTTTAAACATAAATTGTGCTGTTTTAAATTTAACCAAATCAATGAACTTGAGCATCTTTAATGTAAAAAATAAAGGTTAATTAAAAACCTACAGTATCTATCTATCCTTCCATCCATCCATCCATGACAAATCCCTCATTGTCTATGTTTGTCAAGTTGCCATATCTTCTATGAAGCTCATCACCTCACACAATTGATGAAATATTTAAATATGAAAGCATTTTTTGATACAATCTGGCAACACATGTTATATGGTTATGCTGTTGATTCTGTGCAGGTGGTACAGTAGATGCGGGATTTTAATGGTGGTGGTAGCAACACAAGTAGTAGTAGACCATATTTATCATTCATTCATTTTCTTTTCGGCTTAGTCCCTTTATTAATCCGGGGTCACCACAGCGGAATGAACCGCCAATTTATCCAGCACGTTTTTACAAAGCGGATGCCCTTCCAGCCGCAACCCATCTCTGGGAAACACCCACGCATGCTCATTCACACTCATACACTACGGACAATTTAGCCTAGCTAATTCACCTGTACCGCATGTCTTTGGACACCCACAGGAACGCAGGGAGAACATGCAAACTCCACACAGAAACGCCAACTGACCCAGCCGAGGCTCGAACCAGTAACGTTCTTGCTGTGAGGCAACAGCACTACCTACTTTGCCACTGCATCGCCGACCAAATATATATTAATATATAATATATGATGCCTTAAGTTTGTGTGAAGTCAACATTTACAATGTTTAAATTGTTAGCGCACATTGCTATTCTTTAGAGGAACAATTAATCTATGTCAATTATTAATTGACTAAAAAAATGTTTGTTTCTGTAATCTTCAATCAAAGTCTGAGCATTTGCTTCCGTGTTTGGAGTGGGCGGTCCTTCTCTAATGATGTCAGTTCGACACTTTAGCCACAAAAGTTCTTAGCCACACCTCTCTTATCGTTGGTGTGCTATGGGGGAATGATACGCAAAAAGAAAGCCCTGCCCCCTACTTTATATTCCGGTTCATTTGTCAGTCTTTATACCTTCATCTTTGTGTCTTTGCTTCCAGTCAAAGATTGTAATGCCCCTCATAACTGTCTTTTGTAATATTCAATATGGGAAAAAAAACTAGTGCTATATCTGTTTTGATATAATTTAAAAGTGTGTGCTGTGTATATATTATTATTATTGTTATTATATATTATATTATTTGTATTATTTATATTTAGATATAAAATATGTGTCTATATGATACAGATGATATATAAATTAAAATTTCTATGTAACAAAATTGTTTTGTATAACTTTGTTTCTATGTAATACACTAACCGGCCACTTTATTAGGTACACCAGTCCAACTGCTCGTTAATGCAAATTTACTTGGCAGCAACTCAATAGATTTAGGCATGTAGACATGGTCGAGACGATCTGCTGCAGTTCAAACCGATTTCAGAAACTGCTGATATGCTGGGATTTTCATGCACAACCATTTCCAGGGTTTACAGAGAATGGTCAGAAAAAGAAAAAAAAATCCAGACTCCAGAGAGTGGCAGTTCTTTGGGCGCAAATGCCTTGTTGATGCTAGAGGTCAGAGGAGAATGGCCAGACTGGTTCCAGCTGATAGAAAGGCAACAAGAACTCAAATAACCACTCTTTACAACTGAGCTCTGCAGAAGTGCATCTCTGAACACACATTACACCCAACCTTGAGGCGGATGGGCTACAGCAGCAGAAGACCACATCGGGTGCCACTCCTGTCAGCTTTAAGGAGTAAAGTAGTTCTGAAGGCAAAAGTGGGTCCAACCTGGTACTAGTAAGGTGTACCTAATAAAGTGGCCGGCGAGTGTATATACTGTGTAATAAACACTCATATATGATGTGACTTTTATTTTGGATATAATTAATCACAATTAATTTTTGCCTAGTATAAAGCACAGCTATGATCACAATGTTGATAGTGATGAATATAAAAATGAAGATGGCAATGATATTTACAGTACTGATGATGACAATGATGAAGCACTGACCTGAGATGAGGCTGTCAATCAGTGTGGTGGGCACGCAGAAAATGCCCACCAGCAGGTCGCTGACGGCCAGGTTGAGGATGAAGAGATTAGTGACGGAGCGCATGTTTCTGTTCCTGATGACCACCAGACAGACCAGCCCGTTGCCCACCACACACAGCAGCAACACCAGCAGATACGAGAGGATGTAGCTGACCGCCATCCCCGCCGAGTGGATGTAATACGGCAACAGTGTGCAGTTTTGCCAGCTCAGGTTGGCAGCAGAGTGGTTGAGGGTCATTGTGTCCATCTCGGATCTTGAAAATAAAAATGATTTGAACAAGCATTGCTCAATGGATAGATATGAAAATTCAAAATCTCACAATATATTTATGATGACTGACAATCTGATTCACTCCACCACACGACAAAGAGTTACAAATAGTTGATATGTTAATTGATTTATTGATGAACATATTTGATTTGATCAGGGATTGCTTAAACAAATAATATGTAAATTAAATCCCTCACAGTTTATTGACTATACGATTCATTCAAATGCCTACACCGCACCACAAAGACATATTTAATCAATTTTTCTTTAGTCAGATAGTTGATTGAATAATGGGTTTATTGCTGAAAATATTTAATCAATTATTCTTTAGTCAAATAGTTTATAAATGATTTATTGATATTTTTTATAAATTTTTCTTTAGTCATATAGTTGATTTATTGATTACAATTTTTTTTACCAATTATTACTTAGTCATATAGTTAATTTTTTAATTAATTTATTGATTAAATATTTAATCAAACATTCTTTAGACGAATAGTTGATTTAATAATTGATTTTTTGATAAAAGATTTAATCAATTATTCTTTAGTCAAATAGTTGATTTATTGATGAAAATAGTTGATCAATTATTATTTACTCATATAGTTTTGATAAAGAATTTATTGATAAAAATATTTAATCAATTATTCTTTTGTCAAATTGTTGATTTGATTATTGATAAAAATATTTAATCAATTATTTTTAGTCAAATAGGTGATTGGATATAGCATTTATTGATAAAATATTTAATCAATTATTCTTTAGTCAAATAGTTGATTGTATATAGCATTTATCGATAAAATATTTAATCAATTATACTTTAGTCCAGGGGTCACCAAACTTGTTCCTGGAGGGCCGGTGTCCTGCAGATTTTAGCTCCAACCCTAATCAAACACACCTGAACAAGCTAATCAAGGTTTGACAAGGTATACTTGAAACACCCATTCAGGTCTGATGAAGCAAGTTGGAGCTAAACCCTGCAGGGACACCGGCCCTCCAGGACCGAGATTGGTGACCCCTGCTTTAGTCAATAGTTGATTTATTGACAAAATATTTAATCAATTATTCTTTAGTCAAATAGTTGGTTTAATAATTGATTTATTAATAAAATATTTAATCAATCATTCTTTAGTCAAATAGTTGATTTATTAATTAATTTATTGATTAAATATTTAATCAAACATTCTTTAGTCGAATAGTTGATTTAATAATTGATTTAGTGCTAGAATAATTAATCAATTATTCTTTGGTCAAATAGTTGATTTAATAGTTGATAAAATTTCAAGTGGTGGAATGAAAAGCAGAGATTTAATTTAATTTAATATTTAGTAATTATATTCATGAGTTATTCAATACCTTAGGATTTAATATCAACACAACACAAATCGTTGTGCATGCGATCGAGGAATATTCAAAGCATAAACTTAAATCAGATTAGCTCCACTATAATCATTTCAGGAAAATATTTAATCATTTATTCTTTAGTCAAATAGTTTATTTGATAAGTGATTTAATGATGATTTTTTTTTTTATAAATGAATGAAAAGTCCTTAATCAATAGCTGATTTATTGATGAAAATATTTAATCAATCATTCTTTAGTCAATAGTTGATTTGATAATAATTTATTAATGACAATATTTAATCAATTCTTCTTTAGTCAATAGTTGATTTATTGATTAAAATATTCAATCAATTATTCTTTAGTCAAATAATTCTAACAGTAAGAACTGTTTGACCTACTGATGAAAATGCACTGGTTTTAACTGGTGGAATAAAGAGTGGAGATTTATATTAATACCATTAATTATTCATTCATTAGTCTATAGGATTCAATATCAACACAACACAAATCATGAATCAATGTTTTATACAGTCCTGCACGCAATAGAGGAATATTAAAACTATAAGCTTAAACTAATTTTTTCAGTAAAATATTTAATTAATTGTTCTTTAGTCAAACTTTAATAACATGAGCTGTTTGATTTGTTGATTTATTGAAATGTGATGGTTTCAACTGGTGGAATGAGAAGCAGAGATTTATATTAATTTAAAACGAATGATCATATCAATGAATTATTCAATAGTTTAGGATTTAATATCAACAACCCAAATCCGTAATCAATATTTTATACAGTCCTGCATGCAATGGATAAATATTCAAAGTATGCATTGATCAGATAAGCTCTATAATCATTTCAGTAAAATATTTAATCATTTATTCTTTAGTCAAATTATTCTAACAGTAAGAATTGTTTGACCCATTGATGAAAATGCACTGGTTTTAACTGGTGAGATGAGAAGCAAAGATTTATATTAATTTACCATTAATTATTAATTAGTTTAGGATTTCATATCAACACAGCACAAATCAAGTCTTAATGTTTTATACAGTCCTGCATGCAATCGAGGATTATTCAAAGTATAACTTAAGCTATTATTTCAGTAAAATACAAATTTAATTAATTAATTAATATTTAGTCAAATAATTATAACATATGATTTATTATTGAAAATGTGATGGGTTCAACTGTTGAAATGAGAAGCAGAGACTATAGTTTAGGACTTTATGCAGAGCTTCAGCCCTGCATGCAATTCAAAAATATTCAAAGCATAAACTTTAGTCAGTTTTACTAATAATTTCGGGAAAATATTTAATCAATTATTGTTTAGTCAAATCATTCTAGCAGTATGAATTATTATGAAAATGTCATGATCTATACTGGTGGAATGAGAAGCAGAGATTTATATTAAATTACCATTAATTATTCATTAGTTTTGGACTGAATATCAACACAGCACAAATCAAGACTCAATGCTCTATACAGCCTTCATGCAATCCAAAAATATCCAAAGCATACATTTTAATCAGATTAGCTGATAATTATCGGTAAAATTTTGAATCAATTATTGTTTAGTCAAATCATTCTAACAGTTTGAATTAAAATGCTGGATTCAACTGGTGGAATGAGAAGCACTTTTTATTATTAATTTACCATTAATTATCCATTAGTTTAAGAATTAATATCTACACAACACAAATCAATGTTTCATACAGTCGTGCATGCAATCGATGAATATTCATAGTATAAACTTTAATCAAATAAGCTCTACAACAGTGCATAATCATGTCAGTATTTATAAAGTGCATCGAATCCATCAAACAGCACAACCGGGGGCAGATAACATCACCTGAAAGACATCTCTAACAGCAGTCAAAAAGAGAATATACGATGCTCACCTGTTGCTTCCGTGTAATATATCCACTCGGATGAGGAGCGCGCTCTGCTGTTCTTGCTTTGGCTGCAATGCGCAACTGTCGCTTTGGCTCCGTAGTAAAGCACAATGAAGTCGAACCGTGCACGCGACCAGATTCCACTAGTGATGCGCCTGTCAGAGATGAACGTCAACGGAGCCTGACGTCAGTGGAGTTTTCACCACCCGTGACGTAACATTGCCTATTGAATCACTTATCAGTATAGTTCGGCTACTCTGTAAAATATCTGTACATTTCCACACTGTGAAAAACAACAGTCGACTTTATCAAACAAAATAAGTGTAGTTAACTCAAAATTTACTGAAAGATAAGTTAAGTATACTCATTTGAAAAGAGTAAACTCAGTAAACTTAACTTAAATGGTATGTACAAAGTCATTTAGATCAAATGGTTAGTGGCGCCCTCAGAAAATTTTCTTGGTGGCCAGAAGAGGCAACACCAAATCTTGGGGTGGCACGCACGCACGCACGCACACACACACACACACACACACACACACACACACACACACAAAATTAACTCAGTGTAATGTTATATTTTTGTTTCTGGTAAATGAAATAACGTGCTTTTAATTAATTACATACTCTTGAAATATTGCAATTTATTCCTAAAAAATCTATAAATTGTAATTCAATATAATAAAGTGAAATAATCAATATTTAATTTAAAAACCCTTTTCATATAAATGAAGTTTCAGTTATTTTCACATACTTTTATTGTACAGCATACAATATATGCCATGTCTAAAATTAATAAGGACAAAAGAATTAATAAGACAAACAAATGAACAAACACACACACACACACAATCACTATAAAGACTCTATTAATATAGTTTATCCATATTCCCTTTTTAGCCACAATATTAGTAATGCAGCTTCTTCTATTGATGATGTACCTTAAGGTAAATATTAATTTGCCATTGCTGTCTATTGAAGGAGTGTGCGGGTTGTCAACGAGGATTGGGGAGGGGGAGTGAATCAGCTTTGTCAGTGGCACCAATCAATTCACAATAATTTATTCAATCATTCATTTTCTTTTCGGCCTAGTCCCTTTGTTAATCTGGGGTCGCCACAGCGGAATGAACCGCCAACTTATCCAGCATATGTTTTATGCAGCGGATGCCCTTTCAGCTGCAACTCATTACTGGGAAACACCCATACACACTCATTCACACATACTACGGACAATTTAGCTTACCCAATTCTCCTGTACCGCATGTCTTTGGACTGGGGGAAACCAGATCACCGGGAAGAAACCCATGCGAACGCAGGGAGAACATGCAAACTTCACACAGAAACACCAACTGACCCAGTCGAGGATCAAACCAGCGACTTTCTTGCTGTGAGGCGACAACACTACCTACTGCGCCACCACATCACCCTCACAATGATTTAGTGGATGCTATTTGTAAAAATCAACAACTCTCCCTTATGTTTGGCATGGTGCTGGCCAAGAGAGTGATTCTGATGGAGTGGAAATCCACGACATCTCCAAATGTTTTTAAATGGTTAGCTGAAATGGTTTCTGCCCTCAAGTTGGAAAGGTTACGTTTATCTAGATTTGGCAAACAGAAGTTGTATGACAAAATATTGGGCCCCTTCCTTAGATGGACAGTTTAATAATGTTTCTGTAATCATTTTTTTCTGGTAATTTTTTTTTTCCTTCCCTCCATTTCCTTTTTACATGTCATTCTATTTTGTTTCTTATTCCATCAGTCTGGCTGAATTTTTTTAAAAAAAAATTTATTTTGATGGTGCTGTATAAATGCTGTATTGCTTGCTAGTGTTTTAGTGCATGTTCTAGTTAGTATCAGGTAATTACACCGAGATAAGTTTGTTAACATATATACATGATTTACACTATTTGATGTTGTGTTTTCACAAAAACTTCTATAAATAAAGTTAAAAAAAGGACTTTTATTGACATTTTAATAGTTTGAAATTATATATTGTCTGGGTTGGTGTATGTTGGTATAATACTATACAAAAGCCTAGTAATAAGCTAACAGTACATTTTCTGTACAGCTCTATTTCTAAGTAAATTATTTCTTGCTCAACAGATTTTTTTTTTTTTTACTGTGTAAATTCTTGGAAATAAAAAGTGTTGCTGCTGAACTTTTTAATATGTGCTTTTAATAACAGTCTTTAATGGCAATTAACTTTTAATAAGAGTTGTTAAATGGCATTAACCGTTCCATGATAAAGCATTAACATCCATGAAACAAAAAGTTAGGTGGGGGGAAAGGTCATTTAAATAAATAAAATGTTCTTTCTGTTGTGCAGCTCTGCACAAGACGTTTGGCCAAATTAAATTAAATTCAGCTTTATTTGTATAGCGCTTTAACAATGTAGATTGTGTCAAAGCAGCTTCACATAAATGGTCATAGTAACTGGAACAGTGTAGTTCAGTTTTTAGTGTTTAAGTTCAGTTCAGTTTAGCTCAGTTCAGTGTGATTTAATCATTATTGAGAGTTCAAACACTGAAGAGCAAATTCATCGATGTGTAGCTCTACCTATCCTGAACCATGCGAGGCAGTGGCGACAGCGGAGAGGGTAAAAAAACTTCACCTGATGGGAGTGAAGAAAAAAAACCTTGAGGGAACCAGACTCAGTTGGGCACGACCATTTTAATTTCTCCGCTGGCCAAAAGTCTTGTGCAGAGCTTCAGTCACCGTGGTGGGCTGGAAGATGGCCTCAGCGAAGACTCGTATGTCCCTGGAGCGTCGCTGGAATCAGTCTCATGTTCTCCACTTCCCATGATCATCAGCGCAGCAGCAGCTCAGGATATGGCCTGGTCCCGGATTTGAGAAAGGGTCGTGCCCATCTGAGCCTGGTTTCTCTGAAGGTTTTTTTTTTCTTCACTTTCGCCAATCGGTGAAGTTTTTTCCTCGCCGCTGTCGCCACTGGCTTGCATAGTTCGGGATCTGTAGAGTTGTGCATTGATGGATTTGCTCTTCAGTGTTTGGATTCTCAGTATTGATTATTAAACCACACTGAACTGAACTAAACTGAACTTAAACTCTGAAAACTGAACGACACTGTTTACATTTACTATGATCTTTTATGTGAAGCTGCTTTGATACAATCTACACTGTAAAAGCGCTATACAAATAAAGCTGAATTGAATTGAATATTTGGGAATAAAAGTGGTCTAAAGCAGGGGTCACCAATCTCGGTCCTGAAGGGCCGGTGTCCCTACAGGGTTTAGCTCCAACTTGCCTCAACACACCTGCCTGGATGTTTCAAATATACATAGTAAGACCCTGATTAGCTTGTTCAGGTGTGTTTGATTAGGGTTAGAGCTAAAATCTGAAGAAAACCGGCCCTCCAGGAATAAATTTGGTGACCCCTGTTCTAAAGGGAAGCAAGGATGCAGCACGGTGGCTCAGTGGTTAGCACGGTCCCCTCACAGCAAGAAGGTCGCTGGTTCGAGTCCCAGCTGGGTCAGTTGGTATTTCTGTGTGGAGTTTGCATGTTCTCCCTGTGCTGGTGTGGGTTTCCTCTGGGTGCTCCGGTTTCCCCCACAGTCTAAACACTTATATAAAAACACTTATATATAAAATTCTGAGATAAGTGACCTCCAGGCGATGACATGTGCCTAATACTCATGAAACCGTCTAAAGCAGACATTTACCCTGACATTGAAATAATTGTTGGCTGTTTAACAGTATTTAGTTTCATTAATTAATTACTTTTTATTCCAGTGTATTATGTTTTGGCTAAGCACACAGTTATGTTCATTAAATATTATTTCCTATTCTATGTTAACTGTATGAAATTAAATAAAGGTGCTGTACAAACAAAAAGATGTTGGTAACCAAATCGTTTTGGGGGTTATAACATTCTGTTATTATTTGTTAAAAGTTAATTTGTATTAATTTCTACGTTGAATTAAAAAAAGGTTTGAATTTCTAACGTGCAAAAGATATAGCCCTTTTCACAGTAATTTGCTGTAATCGTGCTACCTGCCGTAATTTCACAATAAAATTATGAATACAACATATTACTGTGAATTTTTCAGTTAAATACTGTGAAGGGATACTAATGTAATTTACTGTGAAAAATTACAGTAACTTGTTGTGAAAACCTGGAAATTTTTTACAGTGCATGCTTTAACAACCACATCAAAATATCCTGATATGGCATCAAAGCTTTTAAGTACGATGGCTTTGGGAACCCAGACTCGTCTGGAAAGGGAACTGTAGACCAATCCAGCTAAGCCCACCTCCCCGGTCCAGGTGAACACGAAGAAATGAATATAAACATTGACGTGCAAATCTCCAAAATACTAACCTCTATAACAACAGAAATTGGCACAATAATGCATGCTGAAATAAAAAAATGCCATCTGACCCAGCCGAGGCTCAAACCAGCGACCTTCTTGCTTTGAGGTGATCGCACCACCGTGACGCCATTATATTTAATAATGCAAATAAAATTATTCTGTTCATCAAAGCGGCATTTATTAAATGAAAAAAATTTTTTAAATTTGTTAAATACTTATTTATTAATTATATATTTATTACTTATTGCATGTAGTTTAAAATGAAATTAATACTTTAGTCATTATTGCTTTCATTACTATTACCATTAATAACAATAATAATTTATAATAATAAAAATTATAATTAATTAGTGACGCAGTGGTGCAGTTGGTAATGCTGTTGCCTTACAGCAAGAAGGTCGCTGGTTCGAGCCTCGGCTGGGTCAGCTGGCGTTTCTGTGTGGAGTTTGCATGTTCTCCCTGCGTTCGCGTGGGTTTCCTGCGTGTGCTTCAGTTTCAGTTACAGGTGAATTGGGTAGGCTAAATTGTCTGTTGTGTATGACTGTGTGTGGATGTTTCCCAAAGATGGGTTGTGGCTGGAAGGGCATCCGCTGTGTAAAAATATGCTGGATAAGTTGGTGGTTCATTCCGCTGTGGCGACCCCGTATTAATGAAGGGACAAAGCCGAAAAGAAAATGAATGATGAATATTAATTAAAATTAGAGTAATGTCTGAAGGATCGTGTGACTCTGAAGACTGGAGTAATGAAGCTGAAAATTCATCATTAAATCACTGGAATACATGATTAAATTATATTATAAACTACGTTTAAAAAGTTTTTTTTTAGTGCAATAACATGTCTCAATTTTCCAGTTTGCACTGTATTTTAGATTAAACAAATGCAGCCTTGGTGAGCAGGAGAAGCTTATTTTAAAACATTTGAAAGTCCTGCTAACCCCAAACTTTTGACCGGTAGTGTATATACAGACACACACAAACATTGTTTTGAATCGAATTTATCCAGGACAATATTCAGTTCAGACCCAAACGAAATGAATGCATGTTTCTGATTCATTAAAGAGAACCAACATCATACAGTACATTCTCCTTTTGTACTACTGAATACAGCATTTCTTTTACGAATGATCATAATTTAATGATGTTTTCCCCAAGTAAACAGTCATGAATTAATAAAAGTCACCACAAAGTGGCAGTAGAGAAGAAAAATACCCTCATCAAAAGGTCCATTCTGAGAAAGAGAGAAAAACAAAGAGAAAGAGAGAGAGAGAGAGAGAGAGAGAGAGAGAGAGTTAAACTGTTTTCCAAAAAAGTATCCATGTGCCTCCCTCTCTTTATTCCAGATGAACCCCAGTTTTCATGCAAGACCCAAACACCACCAGACCGAGTCCAATGATTTGCTGAAGTTTTCAAACTAACCCAAGTGCACACACACACACACACACACATGTGAGGGCCTGAAACACATCTGCAGCAGTATATTAGAGTTATCTGACTGAGGACTGGAGCTCCAGACTCCAGCCTGGATGGATCAGTGGCTCCAGAGGACATCGTCTCTATTAAAGCTGAGGCTGTTTTTGCATTGACTTGTGCAAGGGTTGCAATTACCAAACTGGAATAATGTCCTTGGAGTGGAGCGGAGGCTTGTTTGTGATGCTCATCCTGAGGCTCAGCTGTTGTGCTGGACAGAGCTATGAACGCTGGGAAGCCGGATCCTCGTGCTACGGAGGCTTTGACCTCTACTTTGTGCTGGACAAGTGAGTTTCTTCTTTTATTTCTATAAGAGTGTTTGATGAAGAGAAGACGATGAAAGAGATGCACCAGCCAGGATTAGGGGAGCATCATTACAGCAAATCATATGTAGGATATGGGGTTTGCATGCATACATATTGATGGAGGGATGCATCTGCAGCCTAAAGCACTTTGAAATGGTTCATTTGCCTTTCATTTATAATCTGCAGAGCATCTCAAAGGGTAGTCTCCATGTATAAACATGGCAATTTTAAAGAAACCTTGAAAAGATAACTCACTTGCTATTTAAGTACAGCCGAAGGCAAAATTATCAGCGATCCTCTCAGATTTTATTATTATTTTAAAAAAATTTTCAAGTGCAAGAACATTTTCACAGTATTTCCTATAATATCTATTTTTAATTTATTATTTTTTAAAAGTTTGGCTGGAATAAATACAGTTTAATTAATTTATTTTAATTATAATTTTAAAGCTCAATATTATATTAAGACATAAATTTCCCCAACATTGCCTACAAAACAAACCACTGTTGTCCAATGACTTGCCTACTTTTTCCTAATCAACCTTCAGTAGTTAAGACTTTAAGCTGAATACTACCCTGCTAAAAAAATCCAGCTTAAACCAGCCTAGGCTGGTTGGCTGGTTTTAGCTGGTTGACCAGCCTGGTTTTAGAGGGGTGTTGGCCATTTCCAGGCTGGTTTTCAGCCATTTACAGCCTGGTCTTAGCTGGTCAGGCTGGAAAATGACCAGCCAAATCCAGCTAAAACCAGCTTGACCAGCCTGGTTTAAGCTGGATATAGCTGGTTTTGGCTGGACTCCCAGCTTGGCTAGGCTGGTCAAGCTGGTTTTAGCTGGTCATCTCCCAGCCTGACCAGCTAAGACCAGGCTGGAAATGGCTGGAAACCAGCCTGGAAGTGGCCAAAACCCCTCTTAAACCAGGCTGGTCGACCAGCTAAAACCAGGCTAGGCTGGTTTAAGCTGGATTTTTCAGCTTGGATAATAACTAGTTAAATATTATGTACTGTAATCATGGCAAAGACAAATTAGTAAAACTAGTGTGCTTAAAAAAGTTCTCTCTGTTAAACAGCACTTAAAAGAAGTTAAACACCACAAAACAGGCTAATAATTCAGCCTTAAAGGCTGTAAGGAGACTGCAGCTCTCCAATTGCGTTTTTAATAGCTATGAGCTGGCATATGGAACCATTTACCATAAAAATAGTGAGTATGAAGACAACAACCCACCTCCAGAAAACAGAAAGAGCTTGGCAAACACATAAAGAAAAGGAAAAAAAACAAGGTATTGATGAAGGAGAGGTTGTCTAATTCGTGATTATTATATTGCCTTCCCCATACTGTTGTCGCTTTATTCATTCTTTGGGTTTTAGTATATTCTGTAATCAAAAGAGAGATTTGAATAGGAAAACCTTGAGGATTGATGAAGGTGTGTGCGGTGTTTGGGTTTCTGGTCTGTCGAACCTGTTCACCAGCAGGGCCAGATGTGCCAGAGCCTCAGCACCGAGTTCAGATCTGAGCACAGATGATATGGAGATGAGAAAGAGATCAGGGGGAGGGAGAGACGCATAATCTATGCCATTGTTTAGTCATTTTGCATTTAAAGGCACACAATAAAGCAGATTTTAAAACAAAACTCAAGCTTTTCTTGTGGAAACAAGCTCATTTTAGGCGACATGGTGGCGCAGTGAGTAGCGCGATCACCTCACGGCAAGTAGGTCGCTCGTTTGAGCCCCGGCTGGGTCATTTGGCATTTCTATGTGGAGTTTGCATGTTCTCCCCATGTTGGCGTAGGTTTCCCCCACAGTCCAATGACATGCGGTATAGGTAAACTGAATAACCTAAATTTGCCGTAGTGTGTGTGAATGAGTGTGTTTGAATGTTTCCCAGAGCTGGGTTGCAGCTGAAAGAACATCCGCTGTGTAAAACATTTGCTGGATAAGTTGGCGGTTCATTCCACTGTGGTGACCCCTGATAAATAAAGATACTAAGCTGAAGGAAAATGAATAATAAGCTTATTTTATGTCACCTTCAAAATATTTATGACATTTAAATACATTCATCTGATCTCCGGGTCTGGCACTTTTAGCTTAGCTTAGCATAAATCATTGAATCGGATTAGACTATTAGCATTTCTCAAAAAATATTAAAGAGAGTTTTGATCATTTTAATATTTAAAGATTGACACTTCTGAAGGTACATCGTGTACTAACGCACCATTCACACGAGGCTTCAGCGTCAACGATTGACAAAGGGATTGTCTGAAGACGAGGTTGCATCGTAGCAGCGTCAGCCAATGAAATTAGTCAGCAGTAGGCCCCTGTCTGAGCTGGTGTATTTACATACAGCGATCTGATTGGCTAACGCTTCCCAATTTGAAGTCCCAATTTCTGCAGCGAGCAACGTGTGTGAAGCGGCGCCCACGAATCCACAAAGCAGTTTGGCAATGCCTGACATTACCCATTCAAAGTGAATGGCAATCGTTGAAGCTGACGCCCCGTGTGAATGGAAGTTGCTATTTTCTAGGTCGATATGTCCATGAACTATACTCTTAGTCTGGCGTAATAGTCAAGGAAATTTGTTGATGTATTACGCAGTCTGTGAAAATAGCAACATAGGCTCATTCGGAAAATGTAGCCCTATATATATTTCTGGAGATCACGAATTATGTAGCCAGAAGTACATATGGCTGCATTTTGTCTTTAAAATGAATGCTATGGGTCGCTATGAAGCCGTTCCTTTTCGTGCTTACCAGCTGACCGCGTACGGCTTTTCCGCTGTAACCAGTTTGCCCGGTAGCTTACCAGGTACATCGGAGGATTTCAGACACAATGAGGAGTTGACCACAATGACGGTATTCAAGACTGGCAGTTCCAAAAAGCAGGTCAGACAAAAACAAAAGCAAAATAATCAAATAAATAACAGGGTGAGAATGTGGTAAAATCTAAAAACGTGGTAAAAATCCGTCTTTTCAAGATTGCTTTTTAAAACTGTCAGTTGGGTTAGAAAAGTGGGTCAGCACTGGTCAATCTGTGCTTTTGAAAACACTGTTGGTTGGGTTCAGGGAAGGAGGAGGGTGGGTCAGTTAATCCTTCATTCGACAGCGGCCTCTGATGAATTTACGTGAGAACAGCAGGCGCGAACGGCACGCGCGAGAGAAATCTGAGATCTTAAAAAGCACACACAGCGGCCTCTGGTAGATTCCTGAAAACAAAAACTGCAAAAAAAAAAAAAAAAAAAAAAAAAAAAAAGCGTACCTCCTGGAATGTATTTGGCACTCTCCAGAAATCTATATAGGGGTACATTTTCAGAATGAGCCTGGGTTGGAAAATAGTCCCCAGTAGATATATGAGGCATTTATAAAGGTTAATTCTCCATCAGTTTTAGTACATTATGCAACTATACAAAAGACCTAAGCTTTAAATAGTACAATTATTGGCGTCACTGTGGCGCAGTGAGAAGCACATTCGCCAGCTGGAAGGGCATCCACATATGCTGGATTAGTTGGCGGTTCATTCCGCTGTGGCGACCCCAGATTAATAAAGGGACTAAGCTGAAAAGAAACTGAATGAGTAAAATTATTAAAACTGATTTTAGCGAGATGCTAACGGTCTAATCTGATTAAATGATTTATGCTAGGCTAAGCTAAAAAAGGCTCCCACCAGACCCAGAAATTGACTCAATGTATTTTATAAATGCTAAAACTCAGCTGTTTAACTCTAGGGAAGTTGTAAAAGGAACCTATTTCCAAAAAAAGTGGAGTGTTTCTTTAAAAACACAAACCTGTGATGACTTTAGAGCGCATTAAGCAAATTAAATATACACGCATTTCTTTGCATTCTTCTTTGGTGGCAGAATAAAAGAATGCTTTTATTATGCAGGACAACAGCCTCGATTATGAACAGTCTTTTCAGTGATGGTTAAAGGTTCTTGTCTGATGAGGTCATAGCGAAGAGTTGGCTCACAATGCAAGTTTCATTTTCCTGTTGGAAGCAGATTGCATGAACAGAGCTGATCTGTCTGGCGTTGTCAGATTTCTTTCTCAGAATATCACAATTACCCCACTTAAAGCCCTGACAAAGTGCACACTGTTATAATCGGGACATTTTGTCAAACGCAAAAGCGGAATTACTATGAATAACATGTTTTTCATGTCTAAATCTAGGCAATTTCATAGATGTAGGAGAAATGATTAGCAATATTAAACTTGAGTAAATGAAGTAGGGGCGAAGCAGTGGTGCAGTAGGTAGTGCTGTCACCTTACAGCAAGAAGGTTGCTGATTGGAGCCTCGGCTGGGTCAGTTGGCATTTGCGTGTGGAGTTTGCATGTTCTCCCTGCGATCAAGTGGGTTTCCTCCAGGTGCTCTTGTTTCCCCCACAGTCCAAAGATATGCTGCACAGGTGAATTGGGTAGGCTAAATTGTCCGTAGTGTATGAGTGTGAATGCGTGTTTATGGGAGAGTGGGTCTGGATGCAGATCTGGTGCAGTGCAATCTGAGCTGCATCCAATGCTTGCTAATGGGCTCACCTAACCCCACCCCTAACCCTACCTGTCACAGTGACGTCACTCACTCCATTGTGTGCATTGTGTTTGACATTGCATCGCTGAGTGATGCAATCTCAGCTTGCATCTGTGGCGACCCCAGATTAATAAAGGGACTACGCTGAAAAGAAACTGAATGAATGAATAATTAAATTAGAATGGCAGAATTTCTTTTGTAAAATACTCCAAACATTATTTTGTTTACAATTGTGATTTTATTTATTTAATTTTTGTGGGTTAGTGGGTCAAAAATAATAAGCCCCATTTTGGACTTTCCATTAAATTACATTTAAAGTCAGTGAAATCAAAATTTACAATGTTTACTTTTGCTAGGATTGTGCATTGTTAATCTTTAGATGAACGATTAGCTTGTGGGGGAAAAAACGGTTTTGATATTCTTAACCACGTCTAGGGCTGTGCAATTAATTGAAATTGAATCGCATTGCGATT